TTTTAAGCACAACAAATTTTGTGCCTGCGTGTGTATATCTGTGTGTGTGCAGGTGAAATCTTGTATGTGTGTGTGTGTGTGTCTTAGCCTGGTCGTAAATAAACCGAAATGTCTTGCAAATGCATGGTAGAGCGTGTTGCAGATGCCTTTCAAGATATTGGCTATAGATCTTTTGTGCTCAGGGCAAAATACAAGTGTACTTCAAGCGGGAGAAATCTAATTTTAAAAGATCAACTCTTCGAGATACTCTGTGTAATTAAATATGGGTATTCAATTGACGTCTCACAAAGTTAACATAAAACTTGATTCTGTCGCCGCCTTATGGCTAATGCAACAGGCTAATACAAGAGAAATTTACATTTAAAGTAACATTTTCTTTGTTTTTACTCAGACGTAGTTACTTGACTTTTCAAGAAACAAGAACTTTGACATTAGTTGGAGTAAAAACCTAACGCAAGAAGTTTATGTCTTGTAATTTATAAAAACTTTTCTACTCGTGATTTCTGTTTGGCATTTCGTTTTATTTTTCATGATTATCTAATGCGCATCCAGTATTTTGTACTTTTCATTTTTCTTACAGCGATCTGGCAACTTGAAATTCGTAAGTTGGCTGCGTCAACAACTTTAATTGAAGGCTTCACAAGTTAAAATCTATATTTATTTGTTCTTCTAAATTTCAAGAATTTTCTAATAACAGCATTTACGGAATGAGCTGTACTCTCAAAATAACTAACAATTTAAAAAAGGTGGCAACGCTCGCGAAAATATCAAATCGATTAAATTCAATTGCAATTCATACGACTTTATTTTAAGAGCCTCATTAACTAACAAACTCGAGATAAGGTCTTTAAAATTGCAACTTTTGCCTGGGAAAAAGTTAAATATACTTGAGGGTTGCCAGACGTTTTTTTTTCGCAAGCTGTTAAGTTGGTTGTGCTTCACTAGTTTATAAATTGCAGTTTGGTCAACTTTCCGGTTTAATTCGAATACGAAAACGTGTTTTTGATTGCATTTTCGATTCATCGCATGCGGTTAATTAAATAAAATGCACAGAGCAGGCAGCAAGATTAAGACTTTTAATTGCTCACACTGTCAAGTGTTGTAAAATGCTTTATAAACGAAAAACCTAGCTAAAAAATTTGGGATATGGTAAGGTATTTTTGTTAACTTTATTTAATATATGAAATGCTTAACATAGTTTAAATTATTTATATTATTATAAATACTTATAACATTTATTATTATAACATTGTTGAAAAACGTCGGATTCTATAGTACTGTGAACGCATTTTTTTCTTAGAAATTACTTTTAAAAAAAGTTAATACTGCTGAAAAATAATACTAGTTAAAATATTTATAACATTGTCAGTACTGAAAAACCTCAGCTTGATATTGTGCTCCAGACAATTCTTGTGAGTTTGCTTGAACTCATTTGCAGTGCTGGAAAATGTGAAAAGTTCAAACAGTTCACCAATTCGTTCAGCTTAAAAGACAGCTGCAGTTGCTTTCAATTGAGAAATGTCAGTTAATTGTGTCGGCTAATAACGAGACAACTTCAGTGAAGCCATCAACAAAGGGTCTGCCTGCTTAAAGCAGCCAATTGAGCAGCTGAAAGTTCGAATTGACATACACGCACATGCATACATATATGCACATACATATATACATATATGTATATATATTTGGTGCAGCCATCAATCAAACCATTTCCTAAAAGTCGCTGCACACAATTACAACAAATTATCACTAATTTAACAATAGGTTTTAAATTTGTTCAAAATGTTGGCCTTTGTTTGGCAGATTATTATTATTTTTTCTTTTTTGGAAAATGGCCATGAATCAGGCGAGCTAACCTTTAACCTTTCAGCTCTTGATAACCAGCAGCTGCGGAATTATGAAATATGCTGCAGTCTTTAACATATTGTCATGTGACCCAATCGAAAATTGTATGCAAATCTCAATTGATTGATTGATTTGCCGTTTGACATGTTTACCATTTCCAGAAAGAAGAAAAGGCTATCTTCGACACACCGCAGAATTTATACCCTATCAAAGACATTTGGATTGGAAATATTTTAATACGAAAGTTTTATTTGCGATCGATTTAGTAGTCGCTGTTGATCAGGAATATATATGTATTAAAAACATTGGCTTAGTCGCTACTATTGAGGAATTTATATATATACTTCATAGGGAGGGAGAATTAAGACCTTCCAAGCATGTGGCTCAGCCTCTACTAATCAGGAATATATATACCTTATAATATCCTTCCACACATGTGGCTTAGTCGCTACAGATCAGGTATATATGTATATACCATATAGGGACAGAGAATTAATAACCTATCAAACGTGTGGCTTAGAAATGCTTTGATACGAAAGTTTCTTTTTCGACCGACTGATCAGGAATATGTATCCTATATAGGCCCTGGTTTCCTGAGAAGTGTCACATCTGAATACCCGCTGCAAGCGTATAAAAATTCCGTGGGTTCAACAAGCTGAGGGAGGGCCTCACACCAGTTGGAGGCGGTTGCAATGCAATGCACTGCACTGCCAGACAGAGACTATAAATGGTTTTCACTGTGCCACAGTTGGGCATGCAGACATGGACGACTCCGAATGCGATTACGATGACGATGTCGATGTCGATGACGATTACGCGCTGCAGTCTAACAAGTTTTCACTTGCGCAATTCGCGCAATTTCAGGCCCAGTCCAAAGCCCGGTTGCAGACCCGCTGCCTTATTGGAAGAACCCATGGGTGTACTCATTAGAGTTGTGCGTGTGTGTGTGTGTTGGTGTGAAATTAAGGCAAATGAAATAACAGTCGAGTCTTTATAAGGGTGTCGTCCCCTCCCATGCCAAACAACTAATTATATGCAATTTGTTTTCATCGAGTTGCTCCATGTCCGATTCGACCCACAATGTCCCAGACAACTGCAAGCGGCGACTTCTTGTTGTGCCTCTCTCTCTCTTCAAATATCTCCCTCTCTTTCTCTGTGTGTATTTAATTTATCATATGAAAACTTGTAATATTATCAAGCAAACAAGCAGCGCACTCGCATTGTTTTTAGGTGTCTGAATGAAAGTTTTTTTTTGAGCTGTTTGTCTTGGAACAAGTTTATGGCCATGGAAAATTTGTGTTTATTTCGTATGACCCGCAATGCAAGAAAGTTAATAGAACTAAGCGCGTTTCAAGTTAAACTAGGCATGACATTCGAGTACAGTTAGCCCCAACTCATATATCAGACTCCGCGACATATAGCATAATTGAAAACTTTACGCTTCCAGTCATATGCATAGAGGTTAATGATGAAAAACTATGTTCCAACATTTTCCAGTTGCAGCAATCAATGCAAACGCTTTGTTTTGCCCTTAAGCCCTAGGTCTTTCAGTTTATGATAAACATTTGACTAAGCCCCAACGAACTTGGCAAACTAAAGAGCTAGACTCGGAAAATTTGGTGTGTGGAGTGGCGAGTGGTAAAGAGTTTGATAGCTGATTCACTTTCTTAGGCTATGAATAGAGTTCTTTATGGAACTCGGAGATTTGAAAAGTTAGAGAGACAGCAAATTTAATATGTGAATGCCTCAACTGTGCCCAGTCAACTATCTCAATAGAGTTCAGAAATTTCGAGGAACTCTGCTATATTTTTTCCAGTTGCCTCTTTCCACTTTTTTAGGTTCTTTGCTGCTTTAAGCTACTTCGCACCTCATTGAACTAAGAAGCTATAAGAGTTAAATTAAGCACATTTGGTATGCGGATGCCTTGTTCGGTTATATTCATACTCTGATAAGGTTTAGCATTGAACTCTGCAATTATAAGTACCTCAGCTAGAATATTGGGTATATAGGTTCAGCTCTAATATAATATAATAATATTAGACAGGAAAGTTGCTCATATGAAAAAATAGCACTCCGTTTTCTCGAAATTCCTCACCAAACTATTAAATTGAAACACTGTAAATGTTTTCTCATATATATAAATATTTATATAGAAATATGATGGGCCGATGCCAACAGTTCCGTTGAACTCAGACACTTAAAAAGCTAGGGCCATTAAATTTGGTATGCAAAATTCTTGTATATGTTTGTATTTCCCCCCTTCCCCGCTTGCCGCAGACTATTTAGCATATTTTTGCAGAGTATACGAAAAATATTTGTTCATATGCCACCAGACATTATTTTAAATGGTTTCCGCATTGATTTCACGCTCTTTATTAGTTAAAGTTTTGTATTCATTGTTGGTTGGTAAAAGATTGTAAAACATTTAGAACAAATTGCAGATACGCATAAATTTGAACGACTTTCACATCTCGCGATTGTCTCATCAGCGATTCTCAACGGCAGTTTGTCCCCTTATCAACACCTATTAATCTAGTTTAAGTTCTGGTTCTGGGCTTAAACCAAAGTTTTTATTTTTTTGTATATATATATTTTATACTATTTTTTTGCTCCAGAAATGTGCGCCCAAATGTGGGTTATTATGACGGGGGGTGAACAAAGCAGTTTTGCGGCCAAAGAAAGAATCTTGAAATTGACGACTTGTCGGTCGGCTTTGCTCGGCCATTGCCTTTGGCTTTAAGCTGATTGCTGTTGGTGTTGTTTTTTGTAACAGATAGGCAGTTTTTGTTGTTGTAGTTGTTTTTTTTTTGTGTAACAACAAATTGACAATGACATGAATGCAAAGAAATATTTAACCTTAATAAACGGGCGACAGTCAAGACAGTCAAGTCGAGGCAGACATCGGCCAAGACATTTTCCGCTCTTTTGTTGTGTGGCTCGTATTTTATAAGAGCTTCTCCTTGTTGTTGTTTTTGTTGTTGTTCTTGCTGCTGCTGCTGCTGCTGCTGCTGCTGCTGTTGTGCATTGTTTGATTTATGGAACGAAGGCCAAGTGCCAATTAAACTTAGTAACTGGCCAGATTATTTTTCAATTCTTGTAGAAAGTTCAACAAGTCAGCGACATTTATATTGATCAACGGTTTTTTTTTTTTTTTACAGATACGGCAGCGCGAACGCATTGCTTGGCTGAGAACGTAACTGGCACCATGATGTCCATGTCCAGTTCGCCGCCAGCGACGCCCACGGGTGTCCAGACCGATGCCGAGGGTCTCATATTGCCAAAGAAGCTGATCAATCCCTGCATTGAGAATACCGATCGCAAGGAGCTGCATCGCGAGCTCAAGTTCAATGCGCGCATGTGAGTACAAACTGAAATTTGATTTGCTTAACAAGATCCTTTGACCAATTCCCATCTGATTGTTGCAGTGGCAAGAGTGTGCTCAACCAGAAGACGGAACTGCAGCGCGCCTACGAGAAGCAAAAGGAGCGTCATGCGGCGGCGGCGGCGGCGGCGGCAATCGAACAGCATTCGCCCGAAGCGGAGCTGGCCGGTCTCCAGGGCGAGCTGGGACGCGTGATCATGGAGCGTGCCCAGAAGCATGGCGCGGCGGCACAGAAACAGAATGCCGAGGATGCCGAGGAGCGGCAATATGTCAATCCCGAGTATCTAAATGTGCGCGCCAAGCTGCGCACGGCGCATGCGCCCAACTAAAACAATTAAAAGCAAAAAAACAAATCTGTAATCTTTGAAAATCTAATCTTTAGTTGTGACCCAACCAAATTTCTGTTTAATTAACTCGAAAGTTTTATGTGTGTGTTACCCATCAAATAGTTCTTTTTATTTAACTCGAAGAACGATAAGGTTAATATTTTGATATTGATATTATTAATTGATAGTTAATAAGTACTAAGTTGATGTCTAGTTTATCTTTTGTTCTATGTTAATGACGAAAGCTTATGATAATTATTATTATTATGGTTATTATGATTTCTGCTGTGCGTGTATAAAAAATGTATAAAGTTTTAGTTGTTTAAAGCATTTCTTCTTCCAATAACAAAAAAGGTCTTACGAATTGGCTGAATGAGTGTCTGTAAGTTGTACGTTTAGGTATTAGTCATAGGATGCGATCGATATTGATATGATAAACAGGGCAGTCGAGGATTTTAGTATCGTAAGCTGAACGATTGTTTCGATGTGAAACCAGAGAGTTATAATACTTACTATATAGTATGTATGTATGTGTATATGAACTATTTTATGTCAAGCGACGTTTTCAAATGAAATTGTTGCAGTTGCAAAGAAAAATTGATAAACAAACAAAAACAAAAAAAAAAAAAGTACTATATATACAATATATATCTATATACACAAATTTAGTTTTCTGGTATTAATAAATTTTATTGTAGCTAAACGTTAAGCAAAATGTTTTTTCTCATTATGTTTTTCTAAATATTTTATAAACTAAACTATTTATTTTTTGTTTCATCCTTTTCGAAGATTTTTTGAGATCTTTTTTGAGACACGAGTCGATATTCGTTCCTGGTAAAGAAAGTTGTGCTTAATTTCATATAATAGGCAGGAACTCACTCTCACTTACCGTGACTCGCTTGGGCTCTTCTTCTTGGCTGGTAAGAATCTCCCTTACCTCTGCAATTTTTCGATGAAACACGGGCACTTGGCTCTTGCAAAAAGCTAGATCATCTTTGACTTTGATCAACTTGTTGCGTGTCAAATTAATCTCGTTGTCGACTAGCTCCATACTCTCCTCGTATGCCTGCTCGGTCTCAGCGATGCGTCCCTTGTAATTGTTGATCTCCAAATCATAGGCCAGGTTTGTGGTATCGCAAAGGTAGCGAACTTCCGTGAGATTCTCTTTGAAATAGTTCAACTGGTCTGAGATCTCCTGTCAGAAAAAAGAAAATTCATTGAAATGATTGGATAAAAAGATCATCTTTTTGGAATAAATCTGAACTAAATTAAAGTTCTGTTGAACTTTTCAAAGTAATTATCAATAGATGCCTTAATCTTAATAGCGAATTGTTTGTAGAATTCCCTTAATATTTGAGATATTAATTTGTGGCATTTTATTGGGACAGTTACTTTGAATATCAGGTTACATAATAAAATTGATTTCACATTCACATTTTATCAGAATATATATTAAATTATTAGGACACATAGGATATATAATTAATAACATTTAATATAAATATTAAATGTATATAAACTAATTGTAAAGTGTAATCAAGGCCAGAGAGCTAACATTTTCACAGGTTTTGAGTATACGTCCACGTAAACAGACGGAAATTAAGTGGAAATAAGTGATTTAAAAATAATAATTAGGCCCAACTTAGCCTCCAGTGCTACATAATTGTTTCATTAGGGTCTATAGCAATCGTAAAATATTCGAAATATTATAAAATTAAAAATGTTACCTTATTGCGAAATTCATCATGCAAGTTGGACTGCTCCATTATTGATTGCGCCCAGTTTATCTTGTAGCGTGCCTCGATTGGTGCCAAACCTAGCGGCATTAAAAGGATTAATATCAGATCTAAGAGTCAAGTATAATCAACTATCTAAACGTGTGCTTACAATCCATGTAATGGATTTTCGCTTGTCCGCCCGGATTGCCAAAACGTGATGTCTGCTGCATAGCCTTTGTTAGTTGATTATGATGCGCCTCAGCTTCCCTCTGGGAACTCGACAACAGCTCCATAACATCCACTTGGGCATCTCTGTAAAAACGAATGGTTGAGGTTTGCTTTAGATCCCGACTAGTGTATTATAGCATATAAATTTGAGTTTCTTGGAATTTCTTCGTGTAATAATTACAGATAGTTTATCATTCCAATTTGCTATATCCGTATTTTCTTAAGGATCAATGCGTGTCAACTGGTTAACTTACTTTATAACTAACATGGACCTGCTGCAGATGTTGCGCTTGGCCTTAAAATCCTCATACACAGCATCAATGAGCCGTATGACTTCCTTGAGATCCATGCGAAACTTGAAGCAGTCCATTTGACCCTTCAGCTCCAATTCAATGGTGTCCAGGTATACCGTATTGCGTATATTGAAGCGCATGAAATAGTCCTTGAGGGACCAGCTGAACATGCGAATGGAACGATCGACATTCGACTTTAACCTCCACATCTCACGCACCACGGCCATCCGGTTCTTGAGCTCCGTCAGCTGAAAGAGCACGGCCACAAAGCCGATGGCCTTGGCTATGCTGCCGTAGCGTTCCGTTAGCATCTTGTTTAGGACCGATGTGGGCAATTTGTCGTCTTGCAATACGGGTTTTATGGATAGCCTTGCTTGCCTGCTTGGGATTATGGCGGCGCGATGTTTTACAAATTCGTCCACGATCCTCGCCTCGACACCGCTTCCAACTTGTTTGGACAATATGCTATCATCGGACGTTATGGACGCTTCCTCCATAAATTCGACCGAGCCATATGAAATGGGCTCTTGCGGCGGGAGCAACTCCCTGAGGAACGCATCGCGACACTGATCGGGTGGTTGCGGTGGCAGGGGATATAGTCTATCCAGCCGTTCCTCGTCGGTTAGCGTGTGTTTCCTAGTTCGACGAACTGACATGGTACTTAATATGCTAAAAAAGAGTTCTTGTATATTTTGAATGGATTCGATGGATTTGTTTGTTGTGTTGATGTTGATGTTGCCTTCTGTCTGACATTCGGCTTGCTATGATATTTCCTACACATTCTAATAATCCGCAGGATATCTACAGAGTCCACGGGATATATATAGAACGAGAAAGAAACGCTACTTTCCACTTACCGGCTTACAATATATTTGCATATTTTCTATATTTCTATAGTTATCAAATCATATGTTATTGGTCCTACTAATTGGGGGCCTTTATATTCGGGAATTTAATTATCAGAGCCTTGTTTTATGCGGCATCTATATCCGCTCGATGTCCCGATCATTCGTTTAAGTATATACTCGAAAGCTAAAGGATTTTTTCAAAAAATGCTGGGATGTAAAACACAGTCAATATTATAGTCGGTAAGGAGGAACATTAATTCCCGATGATCCCAAAACTTCATGACACTTCCCAAATATCCCAAAGTTCCCAAAAAATGCACAAAAGGATTTCTCTCTTGACTTCATTTCAAAGATTTGCATTTGTTTCTATTGAGCGATGGTGAGAAAAGATCATTATTTGGCACATGCGGGACGAAGCTCCTTCGATATAATAACATTTCAGGGATTAGATTGCTTAGACCCGCGCCCATCTCTAATCTGTACGATCTCAGGAACTATTAAAGCTAGGTTCTTTAGGTTTTTACCAAACTGGTTCTTGAAAATTTAATGTATTTGAATTTCTGTAGATCTACTTTCGATTGTAAAATTGGGCATATTTATTGAAAGAATTATAAGCGATAGTTTATAATATTCGAACTAGATTTGCTTCTACAACAACCTTTCAGAACTCAGAAATATATTTCAGATTGTATGTACAGTATGCATGTGGCTGTGTCGAGCCTCTTGGATAAGTGAATTATCAATTTGAGTATTTTCTGAAGATAAGAGATAAGTGTTTCAGTGTCGGATCGTAGCAAGCTTGGCGGACAATTTGAAAAACGTTTGGGTATTTCCATTTAGTTCGTTTACAAGCGTACAATGTATAGACCGTGTTTAAAATCTAAAGTATTTGAAAATCCAAATCCATTTATGTGGTGCAGCAAGGAAGGCAGCGGCGCCAACTTTTCGGCATCCAATTCCATTGGCGATTGGTCAATTCCAGACTGCAAGGAGGCTGCGGACGGCGATCAGGTAACCACAGCGCGAACCCCATGACAGCTAACGCCTAGCCTAACTGCCACCAGGCTCCCCCAACAGCCATTGTCATCGTTGAGCCCCGCCAGATGCGCATTGCAACCACCAACACCACCAACACCACCAGCTCCACCACCACCACGACCATGACCACCATGACCAGCAGCAGCAGCAGCAGCGGCAGCAGCAGCAGCAGCAGTAGCAGCAGCAGTAGCAGCAGTAGCAGTAGTAGCGCTGGTAGCGATGCTATTGGCTCCAGCATCTCGAATGGGCACACGCCCGAATGGTTCATGCTGCCGCAGGCCGTGGATGTGAACAACGATGTGATGCGTCTGGTGAGCAGCCTCTCGACGGTGGTCCAAATACTGACCAGAATGACCAATGCAGCGGCCCAGGAGCTGCGCCAGCATCCCGAACGCGAGGAGGGCTTCCAGGGATTGCGCCTGCTGCTCAACTATGCCGATCAGATGTATACCACACTGTTGCAGGTAGGTCGAAACGTCTTGAGAGGAGACAGAGAAAGACAGATAATAATTGTGCTCCGATTTGTAGCCGCAGCCGTTTTCGTCGGAGCGGCCAGCATCGCCGAACAGGAGTGTCACCGCCCAGCCCTATAGTCTGTTCCATCATTTGTTTGAGCCCATGCTGGGCAACCAGGAGCGAGAGGAAGAGGTGTCGGCGCGACAATTGCAGCCGGCGGCGGGGCGTTCGTTTCCGTATCGCGTTGTGGCTGTGGCGGCCAGTGCTGCAGTTGCTGCACCTGGCCAGGAATCAAACGGGTCGATTGCACCCACATCAGAGTTTGGCGCGAATGTGAATCAAATTCGAAATTGACATGGCGACACAGACGCACTGCATCGATGCGGCTTAAATTGTTTGTGAATATAATAATTGCTGCATGCCTGCATCCAACAAAAATATACATGAGAACAGCATGAGACCTCCACTCGTTTTCCCCTATTAAACAAAAACAAAAACAAAAACCAAAAAGCCCTGTGCTCAATTCCACAAAGACAAACTACACTGTATGTGCCCCACTCAGACGGCATTCTTGTTGGCTCTCACTGTACGGACAGAAGCTAACAGTACAAGTGCAGAGACATGTAAATTACGACCCGTGCCTGGTGTCAGTCAATGTTAACATTACAATAGCCGCGCGCAGCGCATTCAACGGTAATTGAAGCATACTCACAGCAAAGACAAACAAAATACACACAGGCACAGAAACACACACACACACGCACGCACACAGCGGCAGTACTCCCACGCAGCCAGAGGCGCTCTCTCACTCTCAGCAGGCAAATAAGAGCGCGCTCGCTCTCGCTGCGATTGCTGCTGGCTGCTCATGTGCTGCTGTGACGTAGGCGCCCGCTTGTGTTGGCACCGTTCACACACACACACACACGCGCACGGGAACACACATGTACATGGTTTCACACGCACACAAAATATAGCTTTTGCTCGTTCAGCTGGCGTGGCCGACGTCGCATCGTCGCTTGCTGCTGCTGCTTGCGCGCCTGTTCGCTCGTATCGCGTAGAGGGACCTGCCTCAATGCTGCGCGTTGCTTTTTTTCGACCGCTTTTCACAACACGTAAAAATTAACAGCACTCGGTGCTTTGTTTTTTTTTTGTTTTTGTGTTTACCCGTTTTTATTTTTGGGAGCTGCTGCTGCTGCCGCTGGGCTGGCGGCAGTGGCCCGTTCGCGGCTGTAGGCGCCGCTTCGTCTTTTGGCGCCTGCGCATGGCATATGCACTTGACTGGCGGCCTTTGCAGCTTTGTAGCTTGCAGCTTGGCAACCATTTTTGATTTCGACTGCGCTGTAGTTGGTTATGAAGCAAACAGAATGCGGCTGCTGCTGGATGCTGCCACTGGATGTCGTGGGCGCTGTCCTTGACAAACGCCGTTAGTTAAGCAGCGTGATCAAACAAATTGGAAAGGGAACGGGTGGTGGTGGGAGTGGGAGTGTCGCTTATCAGCAAGCTTTTCGCTACCACCGTTGGCTACAACTGTAACTTTACGACGGCGGCACGCAATCTTTCGTGTAACTGTGCATGCGAATGTGTGGTATGTGTCAGTGTTTGTTTGTGTCGCTCATCTTTTATATTGCGCGACTGCTTTTTGCTATCTGCTGAATGCTGTGCACTTGTTCGCCAAACCGCAGCGAGCGTTGTCATTGCCATCGGCAGCGGGCGTAACGGTAAACGACAACGACGCCGACGCCGTCGTCGACGGCACGACGGTCGCAACTGATAGACAGCTGTCTCCTGGTTACGTCAGTCAAAATGACGCATCGTGTTTTGGTAACAGGAAAGCATAAAAGTCAGCAGACACCCAGCGAGGCCAACTGCTGGAGCGAGAGCTACCACAAAAGAAAATCACCACAAAGCAAAAGAACAAAGCGCAAGCAGCGACAGCGACGCCAAACAGCGGACGCAGCCACAAAGAGAGACGCGCGCGACGTCGCTTGGCGCCCACAACTAACCACCCTCGCACTTTGGGGCCCAACTCTGTCAGCACTGCCAACTGCCGACTGGCAACTCTGGGCCAATAACCTTTTGCAATTAGGCAAAGTGCAGCCGCGACTAGAAACTCTCCGCAGCGCACAGCGAACTTCTCAGCCCCAAGCTCGAAATCGTGGCGTCACAATTACGATTGCAATCACAAGAGGAATCAAATGCATGACTCTCAAATACCCTCTGAGCTCTTGTAAATAAGTATACGTATGTGTTTTATGTTTTTTGATTTATTTTGCCAAGCCTAAAAGTATGAACTGTAATAAAATTGTTTACCTTAAACATAAAATAAGTTTTCTAGGGGTGTTAAATGAAAACCATTTATCATAACATATTTATTTTGTGATTTTAAAGTAGGCGATTCGCTGTAAAACTAGTATTTATTTTTTTGCTTAAGAAAAATTTGAATGTATTGTAAATGATTGCTTAGATTGCTGAGACTATGGATATGTTTTTTATATATTTTTTATTGTAAAGCTAGAACGAAGTAAATAATTCCCTTATAAAGTTTACACTATCGATAGGAGTCTACCGATTTACATATTTACTATGTATATGTCTGTAACTCTCAACTTAACTCAACTCAATTTTCAATCTCAACTATATCTTTATACCGCATATACCCATAACTATATTAAATCTTTCAATTATAAACACAATATCTACAAGCGCAACTAAATGACTTGTTAACTTAGACTACCCTGCTGCCTACACGCAATGCAGGGTATAATTACGTGCATTCGGGGGCAGCCCTGCAAGGCAGTTGTTGCCCCGCCTGATCCATGCAAACGCACACGACAAACGCCGACGCCAGAGGCAACGGCAGCAGCAGCAGCAGCGACAGAGCCAAAGTCAACGTCAACGCCATCTGCGTTTTCTTGTTTCTTTTCTGCCGCTTTCACAGAGAGATGGGATTTAAAAGCGCGGGGCGGAAGAGAGCAGCTGTGCGGCTCTGTGCGCCTGCTGCTATGCGGACAATATTTGAGCAGATCCGCTCACAAAAAAAGCGGCGTCAAGCAGTGAATCTGGCGTTGGCGGGGGCCAAGCATTTGGCGTGTGAGTAGGTTCCACAACGTTCCAATAGCGACTCGACTCCACCAGAGCTGGGATACCAGTCCCATTCCAATTGGAAATGACTCGCATGCGAGCGCCACAAGTGACATGGGAAAAATCCCCAACTGGTATTTTGAGCAGGCGCGCAGCTTGGCCAGCAGCAGGCCAGCTAAAGAGTTCACAATCACAGAGCCAGAGACAGAGACGGGAACAGAGACTGGGACGGACAAGTTGGCTGTCCATTCAGATAAGAAACAGTGCAAACAAAACGAGATAAGCAAAGAGCAGCAAAATGTGCAATGCGAGAGCGAGATAAACAAAAGTCGAAGAAAAAACTAAATGCCATGCTCTGCGCGGGGGCGACGACGCAAACGAGCCGAAGTGCTTGCTGGATGATCGTTGAAAAGATAAGCAGAGTTTCAATTGCTCTGGACTTGATCAAATTCAATACAACTTAATCACAAACCATTTTTAGTGGGCGATTGCTCACCAAAAAAAAAAGCTTTTATCCACCATAGTCATAAACTTTTTTGGCAATTATCAAGTTAGTAACTGTATAAAAAGCTAACCGCTGATTGACTTTCCATTCAGTCGCACGGCAAACGCCCAGCCGTAAAGTTTCCCAAGTGCCAGAGAGTGATAGTTGGTAAGTTTTGATGAGCGACGGTGCAAGTGAGAGCAGCAGCTGTTAAGAGCACATAACAGCTTTCAGTTGACATTCAGTTCTCAACAGAGCAAACAGTGCTTTAATCTGACAGACGTTCTTTTTGTAATTAAAAACAAATTTTGTTAGTTGCGTTTTACAAGGGAACAGTTGTGCGCTTAGTGTTTCATGGGAACAGTTGCGATCTCAGTTCCACTCATCAACCACAGGAAGAGAGGAAAAAGTGTTTTTGATTTGTTCTTTGGCATTCTGAATGTTAATTGGGTATTTTTCCACCACACACTAATTGAAATGTTGCTAAATAGACAAATTAACGTCATAAAATCGATTGAAGAAGACCTTTTTTATTAGCAAAAACATTTCAAATCTTATCTCACGTTTATAATCTAAGTGTAACAGCTAGAAAATAGAATTTTTAGAACTATCTAGAGACAGGTTGTCGAAGATTAAATACCCTGGCTGAAGTGTGATTATTATAACACATTGCAATTTAAAGCTGATTGTTGCTATAGAAACTAACGAATGTTGCCAAAGTCTTAAAACTCTAGAAAAAACATATTCAATATAAGAAAAATCTTATGTTTTTTTTATGAGAATATAATTGCAAACTGCCAGCAATTATAGATAAAAAGACAATAAGTAATACAAATAGATTTGGTATAATAATCAAATTATCTTCATCTTTCGAGTAAAACTTTCTTTTTTATTAATAATTAATTAACTTTGGTTGTTTTCCCGAAAAGCTACAGTAAATTTTCCCCCACATTTTTATTTTATTTAAACACTTCTTACATTTCTGCTAAGCTTCAGACACATCTAAAGTACATTCAACTTTAAGCGTAGTGCTTGATTCCACTTAGAAATAACTTCCTGCACCCGTGACATATTCGCACTTGTCAACACGTCCAATTAGAATGCCGGCACTTGTTGCTCTCTTAAAAAACTCTTTGCATGGCAGACTCTCTTTTTTTAGTGAGCAGCTTGAAACCGAAAGAGCGCAAACCCATTAAAACCGAACTAGGAATGCTTAACCGGTTCAGAAGCTTATCGACGCTGATCAGCGGCAACTGGGGCCAGGGTGGGCGACCGTCGCTATATACACAGCCGGGGTGGGTATGCGGCTCAGTTGCCTGCCAAGTCTAGCTTCGTGCAGAATGGCTGTAAAGTTGAATTTGTTGCTGCCGCTGTTTTGCTTTGTGGCCCTGTTGGTAACACCCAATGATGGTTCTTTGTTGCGCAGAGCCAGGAACCGCACGATGTCCGCGAAACCGTTCAAGGTGCTGATCACCCATCCGGAGGTGCCGCAGTCGGGCATTGATCTGCTCAAGGAGAACTGTGAGCTCGTCCAGGTGCAGAGCCTGCCGCCCAGCCGTGCGGAGCTGCTGCAGAAGATCAAGGGCGTCGACGGCGTCTTCTGGGGTGGACACGGTGCACTCAATGCCGAAGTCCTCGATGCTGCCGGGCCACAGCTGAAATCAATTTCCACCATGTCGGCGGGCATTGACTACGTCGACTTGGAGGAGGTGAAGCGTCGCAAGATACCACTGGGACACACGCCCACCGTGCTGAACACGGCTGTGGCCGATCTGGCGGTGGGTCTGCTCATCGCAGCGGGTCGTCGCTTTCACGAGGCACGCCGGAAGATCGACACGTGAGCCAAAGCCCTTACTACCCGGAGCTCTAATCCACAATCCTTTCTTTAGTGACAACTGGGAGAACTATCATCTGAACTGGCTGCTCGGCCAGGATGTGCGCGACTCTGTCATTGGCTTCTTCGGTTTCGGCGGCATTGGCCAGGCGATTGCCAAGCGCCTCTCCGGCTTCGACATTGACCAGGTGCTCTACACCACCCGGCGTCGCATCGACAAGGAAACCGAACAGGAGCTCAACGCCAAAAAGGTGGAGTTCGATGAGCTGCTGGCCAAGAGCGACTTTGTCGTCATCGCCTCACCCCTGACCCCGGCCACCCAGGGCATCTTCAATGCCACCGCCTTCAACAAGATGAAGAAGACCGCCGTCCTGGTCAACATTGCCCGAGGCAGTAAGTACAGCTATATGCAACCCCTTCCTGGCCTGCTCATCCATTCATCTGCTTCCAGAAATCGTCAACCAGGACGATCTCTACGACGCGCTTAAATCGAACCGCATCTTTGCCGCCGGCCTGGACGTTGTGGATCCCGAACCCCTGCCGCCCAATAACAAATTGCTCGCCCTGGACAATGTCGGTAAGTAGTATATTTATTTATAAATAAATATATAGGTATATACATACATTTTGTAGTGATAATTACTTGCCGTCTTATCGCTGTGGTGACTTAGTCTTATCTTCAGTTTCGTTAGCGTTTGTTTTCCAACAAATTAGAGAGTTTTATTTTGGGCTAGTTTTGCAATTGATGACCAAGGTTCTTTCTAGGTTATCTCTATAAAGAATATTATTTATTTAAATCAGTTCCCATACCTCAAAGGAATGGGTCGCTCACTGTTATCATCATTATTGTTGTTATTATTAATATACATTGCATTGACAATGCGGTATAGTGCTTTTGTGGAGATGTATGTAACGATTTGAATGAAGCATGACCGAATTGTGAATGGAATAGAAACAAATAGAATTTTAAAATTGATAAGAAAGACTTTTATTAGTTTTTATTATTATTACTTTACTCATTATTATCGTCATTATCTCTATCATTATCATTATCTGTATTATTATCCTTATCATTAGCATTAGCATTAGCTTTAGCATTAGCAATATCATTAATATTCGTATTATTATTAGCATTAGAATTAGCATTACCATTAGAATAAGCATCAGCATAAGCATTAGCATTAGCACTAGCATTGGCATTAGCATTAGCATTAGAATTAGCATTTGCATTCGCATTGATATTGACATTAGCAATAGCATAAGCATTAGCAATATCAGTAGTATTACTGTCATTTATATATTAGTCTCTGGTAGTAGATCATAATTTCTTTGAACAGACATATCTTATCGGGAATTATGTTTCTTCCAAGCCCCTTTAGTATGATACAGTTAAATGCGCTGTTAAACATTTCAACTGAATCAAACTAAATTGGAAAAAACTAAACTTGGGAATCGAGAATATTTGGTAAACCTACTATAACCTAGGAAAAATTGAATTAGTTTGGGAGAATTTCAAATTAATTAAAATTCTGAATGGCATTAGCGAAAAGTGCTAAAAGAAAGAGAATAAAATAAACAGGTTCAACTGTAACACATTAACCACACCAGCATAAACATAATCTGATTGACTTTGAACCCTTTCGACCTCAACGCTTAGAACTGGACACGCCTTGACTTGATAGACTTGTCTGTTCACAGATCGTTAGATACAGCATCTGTATGTATTTGCAGCTCAAGGCAAACACACTTCACTTTTGTTTTTGTTTTTTTTTGCTCGTTTCAGTTATTCTACCCCACATTGGCTCCGCCACCACGCGCACCCGTTCCGACATGGCCACGATTGCCGCTCACAATGTGCTGCGCGGATTGGCCGGGGAGCGGATGCTGTCGCCGGCCTATTAGGAAAAGCGTGGAAATTCATGGGAGACCCACTGAAGCGTGCAAGGATTATTGCTGTGAACATTATTAACAATTGATTGTGTGAATGATTGCAAATTTAATAAAATAATATCAAATAAGAACGTTGCACTTGGGTGCATACGACTGCGGCATACTCTGTTCAGATTGTAGCAACAGCTTAAGAGAGGTGGAAAAGCGACGTGGGAACTCTATAAGACTTTAAGGCAATTAGGTTCGCTACGCAGAACTGATTCTCAATCTCCATAACTTAAGGTTTTGGTTTAAGTTCGTAAAGTGTGGAAAGAGTCTCAACAGAATACAATAATAAAATAACTCCACGTGAAACTGTGGAACATTGGTGGAAAACGATTGCAACCAAAAACAGGTTTGAAGAGGTAGCTTTTCTGAGAAGTGCGAAGCATCTGTCAAATTAATTTTCCAGATATATTTGTAAAATTTTATTTTGAAACCTATGGGATGGTGAGAAAACAAGTTTTCTAAAAGAGTCTTTTCACAATTTCGGGTAACATTTTTAAAGCCCCGTTCTAGCGTGCACTTACATCATATAGGATTATAAGTAGCATGTGATATCTTTTTCATGTAATATCTTAATTCACAAAATATTATATTCTCAGTTATTTACTCAGAAACCAAATGTATCCAAGTTAACTTTCTACTCATTAAAACACAGCTGGCACTTAACTTACTGTAACAGCATTTTAGTTTTAAAAAATGTTTTAATAATACAATGATACTTAAGTTTTTAGTCCAATTGTTAGTCGAGATAAATGCATTTTGTTTGCCAATTGGACTTTGGTTAATGGTGTTTTGGCTCGTTATTAGCTTCTTGATTGATTTAAGACATTTCGTGTCAAGTAGATTCAATTAATAGAAACTTCATTGCAAAAATATTCTAATCATGATTTGATCAACCTCCATATAAAATATATGATATATCAAATATAGCTAAATATAGTTCATATATTTACTCACATGGTAGTAACTGGTCGAAGAAAAACGTAACTTTAGCTACAGTTCTAATATATATTAAACCTTATATACATCAATTGGATTTTGTGCATCCTAGGCACAGAGTAATATAACCCTAGTCTTTGAAATCATCGGACTTATGGCAATATAAATAAATATAATGCTAAACAAGTTGTTATAGAATTTGGTATTTTTTTTTGGAAACTTGTTGCCCTTATATTAAGTCGAACGATAAGAGTTAAAAAATATCTTTTTTCAAAAGTAATATTATGCTATCACGATTTAGCATTTCAGGAGTAGTATCCATAGTTGCTGTATTCAGATCTTGGTAACAGTTAAACAAGCATATATGGAAAGAGAAAGAGAAACAGAGAGAAAAGAGAGATATAGCAAGAGAAAGAGAGAGAGAGCTTGTGCCAAAAGCTCAAGTATTGTTTAGTTTACATAATATTCCATGTTTTAGTTTAAAGCTGACCGCCGGGTGCGTCGCGTTGCGTCGCGTCGCGTCTCTCCGTGATGAGTGTTTCGAGAGCGTTCAAAGTTCTTATTTCGCATCCGCAGGTGCCGGCGCCGGCGCTGGCGCTGCTGCGCTCCCGCGGCGCCGAGACTGTGGTCTGCCAGAGCGTGCCGCCGTCGCGGGAGGAGATTCTGGAGAAGGTGCCCGGCGTGGATGCCATTTACTGGGCGCACTATCAGCCGCTGAACGCCGCCATATTGGATGCAGCCGGGCCGCAGCTGCGCGCCGTGAGCACCATGTCCTCGGGCATTGACTTTGCGGACGTGCCGGAGTTCAAGCGGCGCCGGATTCCTCTGGGCCATACGCCGGGCGTGGTCAAGAACGCGGTGGCGGATCTGGCCATTGGCCTGATGATTGCAGCCGGTCGACACTTTCATGCGGGACGCTCCGACATCGAGACGTGAGTATCAGCTGTGCGCAAAAGCTTACGCGTGAGCTTTTTCAGACAAAAGCTCAAGCTCTGCTCGTGCTGCCAACTTGTCTTGAACTTTTAAATTGAGATCGCAAACTAACGTATTTTCTTGCACTGAAAAATAATGGGTACTACGACGACTTTTCAGAAGCTTGGAAAATCTCTGGGATATGCTTATATGAAACCTAACTTTTTACAAATGTTTCATTCATATTTAAAGAAAATTCATTGGAAATTTGTTTTATTATTTTTAATAAAGGAAAAATAGATATTCAAAGTTTTCAGAGATCTGCATTAAAAAAATTCGGGCAAAGCTGGGGAATATCTGAAAACAAATAATATTGGGAAGTCATTAATAAATATATGCTTGAATTCAAGGATAGTTTATTATTGAATTTTTTTATTATTTTAAAAAAATTATTATTAATAGTATTTTCTAACAAGTTATTCCATTTTAATTCCGTTTCAGCTCACAGTGGGTCACGGAGCAGATCGACTGGCGAATGGGTGTGGAGATTCGTGACTCTGTGATTGGATTTTTTGGTTTCGGCGGCATTGGCCAGGCCATAGCAAAGCGTCTGCAGAGCTGGGATGTGGCCAAGATACTCTACACGACGCGAACCCGCAAGGAGAACGATGCGGAGTTCCAGGCGGAGCATGTGCCCTTCGAGCGTCTGCTGCGGGAAAGCGACTTTCTGGTGGTGGCTGCGCCCCTCACAGACGAAACCCGCGAGAAATTCAATGCGCAGGCCTTTGGGCAAATGAAACGCAGCGCGGTCTTTGTCAATGTGGCCAGAGGAGGTGAGTGGGCGTGTGGGCAATGGGGGCGGGTCAGCTTATAAAGTATTAACCATATCGTCCATTGCAGGTCTGGTCAATCAGCCCGATCTGCATGCGGCACTGAGCACTGGCCAAATCCTAGCCGCTGGCCTGGACGTGACCACACCGGAGCCCCTGCCAGCCGATAGCCCCATCCTCAAACTGCCCAATTGTGGTGCGTATTAGCAAACAATTTATCTGTAAGAGATTTGCCTAAGCTTTGCTTCTCTTGCAGTCGTTTTGCCCCATTTGGGCACGCAGACGATGAAGACGACCATCGAAATGAGCCTCCTGGCAGCCAACAACATCATTAATGCCATTGAGGGCAGGCCCATGGTCAGGTCAGCGTACTGAACTGAAGAACCCAGGCAAATATTAAAGCTATATACGTATATTCAAATTAGTTGTAAATTAGAGTATGTAAGCAGACAGTATATATATAACCTGAAAGCTACCAGCATTTGTTAATAAATAAATAAATAATAATAATAAATACATAAACCATTTCAAGAGCATGTGCTAATGGTATTTTTTATTGTTATTTATTTATTTATTATTATATTATTATTTTATTTTCTGTTATTATTTATTTATTAGAAACTAAAACATTTCCTTAAATATTCTGCACTCCCTCCAAGTCTTTATCTTCATTCACTAGCATTGTCATCCTTGACCACATGACTGAGGTACAGTGCATCCCACTCATCTCGCTGCAGGGCCTTCAGATAACGTTGTCGCTCCTCCAGCACGCGTTGTACCAGATACATGTCCGGCTGATCCGCCTGATGCTTCAGTGCAATCTCCAGTGCACGTTTCCAGCTGTGCATGCGCAGAGACAGGGCCACCGCCTGGCCATATTTGCGATTGTGCAGCAGTATGGTCTCCGCCTCGAGCAGCCGGCCCAGCATTAGCGAGTTCTCGGCCATTTGCTCGGCACTCGAGGGCGCCAAGGTCTTCAGGTGCTGCAGGTAGCTTACCTTGTCGATTTGCAGGGCTGCCGAATATGCCTCCTCGCTGAGCTGCAGCTGATGCTTCCTGGTGGCCACCGCAGCCAGTGTCGCCCACAGGCTCGTGTGCTGCGCCAGCCGGCAGATCTTCAACGCCTGCTGCCACTGCCCCTCCTGCAGGGCGCGATGCAGCACCTCGCAGTAGATGTTCACGTTCACTGGCAACAAAGCGCCGGCGCAGCGGAACGTGATCACAGCATCCTCGAAGCTATCGATGGCCACGTGTTTGCCAAACTCACTGAAACGAGTGAAACAAGTCATAACCAGTGTGGGATGTGGTATAGGTGCTTCGATTTATATCGACCAACGTCTTATACATATTTTGACTTCCAAAATATTGTTTAGTTTAAATAAGAAAGCTTTCTATAAAAAAATTATACGATGCTCATAAAGTTTAAAGATCAACATATCATGAAAAACAAAATTGTACTCGACATAGTGTTACGATCCTGGAGATTCCGGATTATATACTGACCCACGTCATAAAGTCGGAGCTATTCAAAGACAAACGGACAGACGGACCAATCTACATGTATATCGACTCGACTGTTGACCTGATCAAGGATATATAAACTCTATGGAGACGAAGATGTCTTCTTTTGTATGCAGTACATATTTCGTGACAAAATGCTTCTCTACAAGGGAATACAAATGAAAGGTTGAGAATCTAGACTTCAGCTATAGTAAATATATTCCTGTAGACTCACGCAGACTAGCTTCAATAGCGTTAAAAAAATATTTGAGTTATTACGGACGGACAAACGAATCTAATTTCGAGGGAAGCCTTGTGATATTTAACTTACGCTGTGTCCAGTGTTATTGTCGTGAGTGCAATGATTGTGGGATCGGCTGCACCCTCGCCCGGACAGTACCAGACGCTGTAGCAGGAGTCGTGGACGCCGACTAAAATGTTCGTCTCGCTGGCCCACTTGATGGCCGTCAGCTGGGTGCCAATCTTGTGGATCTCATCGGAGGCATTGGCCAGGCGCTCGGCTGTGCCCGCGCCGTTGAGATTACGTGTCTCGCTGATGTACAGCTCCCGGTTGATGTCGATGAAGGCGATGAACTGGTCATCCGGACTGCCGGCTCGGCAGGCGGCGATCTCGGCGAGCTGCTGCTTGGCGCGCAGCGACTGTGGCTCGTATTGGCGCGAGGCGCCGGGAATGAGATCGAATAGATGCACCAGCGAAGTCTCCGAATTGTCCCGTATGGCGAGCACGTCCAGGCCCAGCGATATGGAGCGCCAGTTGAGCAGCGGCAGCTGTGCCTGTGAGCCCGGGTAGCGAGGATTGAGATGCAGCCGACCCGTATAGGTGTACACCCAAATGGAGGCCGCATCCAGCACCATGAAGTACCTGCAAGTGGGCCAGTTAACGG